ATGATGATGATGATGATGATGATGATGATGATGATGATGATGATGATCACGCCTATTGACTACAAGAGTGGGGATGGGAGAAGCCCTGCTTTCTCTCTCTATGGCAACCCCTCTGCAAGCTCAAGAAGCCCTAGCCAGCCCTGTTCAAGGCACATTTTGCCCAAAACTCAGCAGGTTTGCAGAGCAATGTGCCCCAACTGCACGCAAAGTTGATCCCCACAGCTCATCTTGAAGGGTTCCTGGCCGTGATGGAATGGTGGAAAATAGAAGAAGAAGAAAGGAGAGCAGCAACAACCTAAAATAGTGATACTTGTTTGCCGACACAGGGAATGGGACACACCCAAATTATATATATATATCTACCCCGCTCCCTCTGTCTCTCTCTAAATGTACATATATATATGTAATTATATGTGTGTGTGTGTTTGCCGGTCTCCCTTTGGTGAACTTACCCCAAAATAAAGAACGAATACAACTCCTTTTGGCCTTGAACCCAGATCCGAAAACGGCCGGCTGCGAGCCGTTCCAGCCCACCGGTTCCTTGGGCAATTGCATGAGCTTCTCGAAGCAGTCGTCCGTGGCAAACATGAAGGCGAGCACGCGATTCACATAGGTGACGGACTCCTGGACCGAGCGGGAAGCAGGGAGATTTAGGGGAGAAAGGGGAGGGAACCACCTCGTTTTGGAACGCGTGGGGGTTGATCTCGTTTTGGAACGCGTTTCATCCATAATATGGATTTTGTCGGATCAAAAGTGCCATGTGGTTCGGGGGGGCCAGGCGTTGCAGCGATCAATTCCAAGAAATTCATATCTGAATCTCTCTTTAGTATAACTGTATAACTGTTTCTAATGACTGCAACTGCATTTCAGATCATAGTGATAGTTAAAAAAACGGATTACATTTCCTCAACGAAACAGCGGTTGCGATCTTTCACAGTCACATGATCCTGATGCTCTCCGGGCTTGACCATACGGATGGCCGCTTGACAATCATCTTTGGTGGTATCGCCCCACCAATGCCTCGGGATGACACTTTGTGATGCAACAGTTGCAACTGGGATAGCCAGTGGTGAACGAGTTCAATGACTAACTTTGCGATTCTTTGGAATAACAAAGGGTGATGATGGTTAGTCAAGGCCATTCTCTAAATAGTGATATACCAGGACACCCTAAGGGGCTTCTATTGATAGCCCCTTAGATGTTAAGAGGCGTCCATAATAAACCACCCCTTGCGGGTCCTGGTTTCATTGTTTGCTGACTGTTGTTGCAGGTTAATAGGACAAACCCAAACGATTCTCTTCGTGGGGGAGTCTGCCGTGCATATGGGCTATGCAAAGAAGAGAAACCTCAACAGCCCACATGATGAAGTACACCCCGAACGGCCAAGATTTCACCATGTCATCGAGCTCTCACTGTGTCATTGAGCATCTCAACTGCTAAATACAACTGAAGCATCGGGCCCTCTTTTCAGTGCCTCACCAGTTTTCAGAAACTTGCCTCCGCAAAGTTTCTTAGATCTTAGGGCCGTAAACTTGGAGAAACTCATGCGTTGTCATCATCCTAGTTTGCCATCCTGCACTGCCTGGAAAAGCACCTGGCTTGGAGCTACAAGAAACACGTGCCATCATCAAGCCGCACCAGTTCGTACGCAGGAATCTGCAGTACAACACCTTGACTAACTTCGAATCCTATACTAGATGGTAAATTGATGTCTTTGCAGTAGGTGCAACGGCAAAAAGGCTATCTGCTACCGGTGGTTGTGGGCAAAGCTTTGTCGGAGCTTTTCTCTGTCCAATTGTTCTGTGCTAGTCTCTGAACCCGAGGCATGTACGGCCATTGTTCGTTCGGTTGGCATGTCCAGCCATTGTTCATTCGGTTGCTGATGCTGGTGGACCAAACTGCCAAGGACATTGCCTCTATCCAAACTGCTCAGCAAGAGAGCTCTTGGAGAGCCGAACCTGGCGAAGCTACAGGTGCAAACCTGGCCCCATCGCCAAACTTGAATTGGAGACACCTGCGGCAGCACAGCCCCGCAATGTCTTCGAATTGAATGGTAGCCTGACTGGCCCCAACCGATGGTGTTTGATCGTATTTGTGTATTTGCTTCACTCTGCCAAGAGTTGGCAGAAGCCACCAAGTTGACGCGTGGGATTGTTGCTGCCCACCATTGAACAGTTTGCCTCGTTGTCATGCTGAAAACCAATGCTGGCATGGATGCTGCAGGCTGGTCGCGACAAGGCAACACCATACAAAACCCACCTCTCAATGGATTGGTTGAAGGCAACATCTACAGGACACCCATGGTTTTCACCCCCTCCCCAGCCATGGGTCTCCTGGGTCTCCTGTAGATAACCTGTGGCTGCCTGTGGCTTCTGATCCACCACCCGAACCCAAGTCCGTCCACTCACCGCTCGGGCCGTCCCCACACGCACTCGCTGTTCTCGGACGCCACCGGCTCGGTGTCTGCGGACGTCCCCGCCGCCAGCTGCGAGAGAACCTGTAGGCCGGCTGGACGGTCTGCGCGGACGCGTGGAGAGAGAAGCTTGGCCGTGGTGAAAAGGTGAAGACCAAGCTTGGTTTGTAGACAACACTAGACAACTGTACTATAGTATTGGGCAGAAAACCCAGTACAGTATACCTAAACACAGTGGATGATGATGGTTAGGTTGCCGGCCTTTCTCAACATAGTGATCATATTTTACTGACTGTTACTGGTAATGGGCTACACCCTAACTATATAATATAGGACCGGCTTTAGGTTGTTGCATAGTAACTCCAAAAAAAAAAAAACTACGTGGTTGAACCACTCACTTGAACAATATTAGTAAGTGAGTTCAATCATCCCAAGTAGAGGTTGAAAATAAACTCAAACATACTCAAACCACCACCCAGCATTAGAAAAAAAAACATGAGTAATGAGTTGAATAGATACATAGTCAACAAAGAATAGTTATTCTTAGTCGATGTTATTCGCCCACTGTTCATACAATACTGTACTATACAAGCTTCTGTCCTCTCTTAGAGAAGCTGGCTGCCAGGTCGTTGGATCCTAAAATGCTGAGCATAGCAATTGATATCCGTGCTTCCCCTTTTTAAGCTGGTGTCATCTGGCATCCTCTGCTTCCCAAAGCTTCCTGGTTTCATCGGTCGCGACCCCGAACCCGCCTCCTCCAGTTGTCCAGTGCCTTGGAAGAAATCCTTGGCTCGCACGTGCACATAGCTGCTCCACAAGGCCACCGCTTCCTACGATGCGAACGGCGGGCCACTCCCGGGACACGACGCGTCAAGTGGTGGGCCAGTGAAAAGGGGCTCGCCAGGACGGACATGAAGGATTGAACCCGGAAATGGCGAGGAAGTAACGAATGTTTACAGTAGGTCTCAGTCAGCATGCAGTAAGGAAGTATGTATGTATGTAAGCAATAAGTAAGCAAGTAAGTAAGTAGATTCCCAACAAGCAATATAGTTCCCTTGCATTTTCCTAGACGATATTTTCCTCCATGTGGGTGCAGCCACAACAGCAGTTCATCAAAAGTTCTAGTGGAGGTTACCGGGCTCCAGTAACAAATTCATTGTTCACTCTCCAATTACTTTTCCAAACTTCAGGAGACAAATCCCAGGAAGGCCGGAACATCGTGGCACCACACGTCTCCATCGTTGCACCACACGTCTCCCCTGCCTTCACCTCCTCATTTGTTCTTTTCTTAAATTCCCGCTCATTGTGCCTGGCGGGTTTCTTCACCTGAGCCGGGCGAAAAAGCATCGCAAAAATGGCGGGGGGCGAACGCTTTCGGCCATGTTTTGCATGCATGATCCATGAATCTAAATCTGCCCGAGTGATGTGCTCAAAACTGCCATCGGTAAGAAAGAATTCCACACCCCTTCGAGCAATGGTACATGTTCTTTGTCCAGAACTGCAATGTGTCTGAGAAAAAGGACGGAATGTTACAACCCAGCCTTACCGGTATACCGCTCACTCTCTGAAAGGAACATGCCACATGATCTTACCTCAACAGTTTGAGACCTCCAGCTGCCCATCACTTTCTCCACCTCCATGCCCATCCATTTATGGAAGAGTTACATGACATACATGGATGGGCCACGTGTGTGGGGGGCCAATCTATGTAACTATTCCACTCGCAGGGATGGTCTGGGCATGGGCTGCAACAAACAGAACGAGTCACGGATGACGTGCCGACCGGGCCCTTCTCCTCCCGCTTTGGACCAAGTCCTTGGTTGATTTGCTAGCTCCATGGTGCCACAAATCCAGTGAGGCACGCGATCATGGGTACGTATGGGTACGATCATGGATACCTCAAAAGTGGTGCAGGCGAGGCTCCAAGCAAGTTCCCCAACCTCAAGGGATTGGCGAAACGTCTTCGAATGCTGGGAGTGGCGGCTTCGAAGAGTCAGGCAAACAAACCAATAAGCTTTTCACGGGATGTAATGGGAAAAGGTCACCTACTAGGCTACTAAGGTTGGGCCGTCTAATTAAGCACATCTGCACCCAGAAAATTAGCGATGGTTCACTAATACACGCTTTAATTATGTGCCTTCTTTCAGTCAGCATCCAATATCTTCCTATAGTTAAACTGATCTTCTGACCCACCCTTTTTCATGCTATCTCTTTGAGAGATAGCATTCTGACCCACTCATCCATCATTCTCATCATCCTTCTGCTTCTCATCCTTCCCTGTTAAAATCTCCACAAAACCTCGGTAGCAAAATTCGTTCATTTCTCCTTTTTTAGAACATATCAAAATCTTAAGGTGTTCAAACGCTTTCAAACTCACAAAGGGTGCCCCTCACACAGGCCCTACCACCCTCTAATAGTAAGGGCCCCTCCCCTATGAATCAAGCCCGTTCTATGGCCTCCATCTGGTCTTCCATCCCTTAAGATCCTGCAATCCTCTTCCCAAAAGTCTCATGAAATGGACTGCGTTTTGATGCGTCTGGTCCACCAAGTGGCACATTGAAGGGGTTCTCGGAGCACCATCGGCAGCTCCCGGGGAGATGGTTCATCATGGCACGCTCCGCGGACGTAATCGAAGCCTCCCTGCTTGGACAGCTGCGATCATCGATATCGATGATTGGCACCCGGACCGTTGGACTGTCAGAACTGTGCCAACCTGGTGACCGGTGGCGAAACGAATCATGTTAGACTGGTTCTCCTGTCGCACAAAAGGAACGTAGTATGACCTCCCCCATGTCTATGCAACCCAAAACAACATCCGAGCTTTGCCAAATTGGAGGCTAGGTGCCCATGGTCTCAACTTAGGGAAAACACACATCACATCGAAAAAATAATAGATAAAAAAAACACTCTAGCAGTCTAGCATAACCCAGCATTTGATTTTTGTCACTCCTAAGATCTCCTAAGATGCCCAAATCCCTTCACGTGGTCCTCACCTTCGAGCAACCAAAGCCCGACTCTGAGTGCGGAGCCATTTTCTCGCTCCGAGGCCCCTGGTGTCGCTGGGATGGGGCAGGGTCAAATCTCCCCAACAGGCTCCATGCTGGCATATGTGTATATATATATATATAAAAAGGAGGTGGATGAACATCCTGACCAAAAAGGGACACAAACCCCAAACAATCATGGCGCATGTCATTCTCGTGTCGACATCTCCTTCAAGCGCAGTTTCGTCGGTTTCGTCTCGGCGCTCCATGGTCGGGGTGGATTGATGTGTTTAATGCGAATTCAACATGATCCAGGTCGGCAAATTCTGAACTGAGTCATAGCTGTTGAAACTGGAAACAAACCTCAATGATGCTCAATGTAGCCTTGCGTCGGCAAGCGTTTCTCCCCCTGGCTGCTGTTTGTCACTTATATTTGGGTTTGCTTCAGGAACTGAGACAAAAAATATGTGTCCTGAAGCAGATTCATCCACAGGGAAAGAAACATATCACGCACACTCAAAATAGTCTGCTGAGCTAGTAAACTTCTTGGCTATGCAATGCAATTGCCACGTTCTTGGCCCGAAAAGCGGCAAAGAATAAACGGGAAGCACACACACAAAACAAATGGAACTTAGAATGTGAAAGCCTACCTTTAATGATGAATCTACTGTAAAAACATGACTCTCTCTGTATCTCTCTCTCTCTCTCTCCATCGCCATCTCCCTCTCCAAGAGTTTAGCCATTTGGCTAAGGCCAGCGCCATGTGACAGTCAGTTTGTTTATTTTTTAGGGTCTTATTGGGTGTGGTCATTCAGGGCCGCCGGCCATAGCAAGGCAAGGAAATTGACAAAACTCAGGGTCACATCCACTGTGGAACAATCGATAGTTTACATCACTGATAGTCAGAAACAGCACTAATGGTTTAAAATATATTTACTTATAATCTATTGAATATCTCCGAATCCATCCGGTGACGAAACAGTTTCACGCGCACAAACTAAATATAGATTACATATACATGCAATACTATATGCCCCTCCAACCAATCACGGAAGCGGAAGCACGGATGAAAACGACCCCCCCTCGTGGAGGCAGTCAGTGAGGCAGTCGTCCCAAGGCAGGTGTGCCACGGAACCGTTGTGGTTGGATGATGGAAGGGAAGAGCGTCCGGGCAGTCGTCCGTCGATCGTATGAACCACACATGAAACTGAGTCCCAAAGGGGGTGCCTGTTGGAGTCCCCAAATGGTGCCCAAACATGATCAGGTCATTATAGGTTGGGTCTTTATCCTATTAATATATTACCTGTAACAATGGATGATGATGGTTAGGTTGCAGGCCTTGTTCAAAAATAGTGATTTGCTTGTTTACTGACTGTTACAGGTAAGTTCAGACAGACCCAAATTATAGGCTATCGCGGCTATCAAGCCGGTCTACCCGACATGGAATGTCATGTTCCGTTCTCCCGTTGGTTGAGATGGTGCCATGTGTAATCATGTATTCCACGTTCTTTGCTGGAAATCAGGCCTCCTGCGCTTCAAACGACTTGACCAGACTCAAGAGTCCACTGCCTTCCACTATGGAGGGGTTTGATACTTGGCTCACGGCCTAACTCATCTGGGGGCGCTTCGAGGACAACAGTTGGAAGCTCCAAGTGGGCGGGCCATGTTTGAAAAGTAGCCTTCCATTCCAGCCGCGTTCACCATTTCTTTGGGAAGATCTGACGGTCTGTCTGCCCGTGCCTAGCAGGTGCCCGACATGGCACGGGAACCCTCATCTCATGGAGCCAAGCGGCGGCCAGGAATCATCACCCAACAAAAGGTAAAAGTGAAGGTCAAAGCACCTGCTAAACTTGCAAGAATCGGTTTTGGACGAACACCTACCCGGGTGGGAAGACAAGTTCACTGAACCCGCGCACTCTCGGTTCACTTTCTCCCGCGTGGCATCCTGTTGAGGTGACCCCAGTGAGTTTGGCGCAAAACGGAACCTTTTCCGCTTCATTTGTTGAGGTCTTCTGCCAACCTTGCGACTGCATCCACATTTCTACGTGGTTCATTCTGAACATGGATATATAGTTGTTCATTGCCACTTGTTATGTAATGGTCTTGAAGTCTTGAACTCCTGCCACCTTGATTGATTGACGACTTCTTGCTAAAAGCATCTGTTCCAGATTGTTCCAGCATGACTACACACACACTGTATACACACACACGCCGCACATCCACAGCCTGTGCGATGAAGCAACCACAACGAACGTTCTGACCGAAAGCCCCCCAACCCCGAACCTCCTCCCTCTCTGCAACACAACACGCAAAACGCACACGCACACACGACAAGCAACATGCGGTGAAATGACAACCACCGGCATGCCGTAGAATCCGATACATCCAAACATCCCCAACTTCTCTCTCCAGTGCCCAGGCAAACTCAAGGCATACAATCTGCCACATCGATGCGTGGTCTAAAAAGCGAAGGCGTTTTGCATCGAGGGGGCCGTGTGTTCCTCAATGTGGGCCTCTTCCAGGGTGTAAACACATCCATCTAAACCAGGGACAGGTCTCTCAGCTACATCCTCAACTTCATCAACAAGTTTCACGTTGAAACATGTGCAGGTCTCCAGCCCTCTGACAGGGGAAAAACAAGCACTCATTCAGGAAGTCATGGGTATCTATGGAACTTACTCTTCTGCTTGTGGATAAAACCCGGTCCCGCTATCTATCTAACAAGTATACCAGTCCAATGTTCATCCCTTTTCCTACATAGATGGAGGCCCCCCAGCTCTCCCCGGCTCCTTTTCACGTCTTTCACCCCCATCCACCCTTCCGATGTTCACATGACCACATGCAAGCCACCCTTTTGCCGGGCGCGCGGGACCTAAAACACAAAGGAACACCATTGATTCTGATCTATAGGTTGACAACATTCAGAAACATCTCCAACAAAGACCCCATTTTTCCGCCCCCAGAAGTGCGAGAGGGTACGCGGCCCTTGGTGGTCGTCAGGAGAGACGTGATTGGGCACTGGGATGGGCGAAGGCCAAATAAGTGTGTGTGTATATACAAATATATATATATATATCGTGTATTTCATTATTATATACTATATATATATCCCTAATTATATAGTATATATATATATTTATGCCCAAGAGCTTGGGCAATATATTTGGGCAATGGGTACCTACAAGTAGTGCAGGGTTGTCCAAGTGACCCCGACAGGAAGCAGCTGGCATAATAAATGTACAACAGTAATATAACATATATATATATATGATATGTGTATATTGATATTGAGGAAGGCACACAGCCTTGGTATATATATATATGTATATACAGAAAGGCAGGCCCTGGAAGTGCACTTGTTCACCTATTTTGAGTGATCTGGAGGTGTGTTCTTTAGTAACTTTCATTAAATTTCAAGGATCTACTGAGATTAATTCACAGCACCAGTACTGCCAAGGACATCTCAACTGCTGTATATACTCTGAAAAAAATGCACGGGACTTTCAAAACAAAAAACAATCCTACTGTAGAAGACTCTTTGGTGAGTACCCACCCCCAAAAAAAGAAAACCAATCCTGACAGAGTCTTTGGACACCCCCCCTGCCCAGAACCTCCCAGCAATTGGTTAAATATGTACATATAATAGCCGGTACATCTATAATATAGCAGGTGGCATGTATGATTCATATAGGCTGGTGAGCACCCGTTCGAACACTAACATGTGAGCACCAAAGGCTCCAATCGAACACCCGTTCGATGATCCAGGGTTTGGAGCTATTCGCATTCCTTTTCCCAGCAAGCATGAGCAAGCACTATGACTCACGTATACATGAGATTAAATGAGAAACAGTCTCTCTACAGCAAAACTGCAGCTTGACATACAAAACATAGAGAATCACCACACTAGTCACACTAGTTGACGTAGGAATGTGAATTGTGATTAATTGTGTGTGTGCCGGTCTGGCTTCTATCCACGTCCCTTTATCATCCTTTATCCCCTTCCTGAGAAGGCCTACAAGTGAAACCAACTACATAAGCGCTGGGGCCAGGTCAATCCCTGGCCTGATAAAATACCACGAACTAATACTAACATTCCCAAGATAAAAACAATTCATGGCAACAAGCATTAGTCGGAAGCCACAGGATAATATCCTGTATTTAAATGACATGTTTGTGCTGCTCCCTGCTCTTGCTCTGCCAGGTTGGATGTCTCTCGTCGCCCAGCCCCTATGTGCCCACCGGGTCTCCTCAACGAAAAGCATGGCTGTGTCATGGCTCATGGCAGCCTGGCACCCTGCTGAGAAACTGCGAGGCCTTTCCCTCCCCATCTCTGAACTTGTAGGGTGGTCTCAACTTAACACAAGCCAGTGGCTGCCCCACAAACACCACGCGAATCGGCCACTCATGGAGCAGCATTGTACAAGGGCGCCGCAATAAGACCCACATTTCAGGCCACGCAGCGGCGCGAGCAAAGCTGACACCAGATTCGAGGCTGCGCGTTTTCTTTTACGCGAGCATCGGTACTTTGCTGGTTCTCAAGAATTAAGTCATAGAACTGTGGAAGGAAAACCAGCAGGATTGCTATCATATGACGATAGCGGTGACCTTTCGAACTGGGTGCTCTCGCTGCTAGCCTTCCCGTCATGCAATTCTATGTCGCAGCAAGTGAATTCGCCGCTGAAAGCTGGGCATGAAAGTGTTGTTTCTCTCAGCAAAGGTGGGAAAACGACCATGTTGAGCGAAACATCGGGAACACCACCATGTGAAAACGACCGAAAGTACACGACCGGACCTTGTGACAGCAGGTCCCCGGTCTGACCACGGAGGCGAAAAACCAGTGCCGCATCGGCCGGCACTTCCTCGCTCACCGCCGGGTCTTCTTGTACTTCTCCAGCACTTCAAACCTGATCTGCAGCAACTCCTAGTCTAAGAGTGATTGCTGTCTGCAGGGTCCCAACCACCAACTCCTAGTGGTAGACTTTGAGCTGGGGCCCAACTCAAAGGGCGGCGACTGGAAAATAGATTCAACCTTTACACTGCACTGTTACACTGCTACATGAAGAACATACTTATTATATATATATATTATATGTATATATAACTTAACTCCTTATATAACTCATCCTAAACCCCATAACGTGAGAAAGCTCTTCTCTCCACCCCTGGCTGATGATCTTTTTTCCTGGGCATCAGGACCAGCCAACGGCCTCAAGAAATCCTGAAGACTCGTTGGCTGTTACGCCGTCCACGACTCTCCGAGATGATCTCAGCTCCAAGCTCCTCGGCAGAGATATCCCCATCATCGGTGTTGTCCAGGAGGGCGAAGATCACCCTGACACCGGCTCGGTCGTTCTCGCTTTTCGCTCGCTCGTGCATCACCAACTGTCTCTATATCCCACGAGGGCCGGGAGGCCGTGACGCGAGGGTGACGCGAGTATTGCGGGAGTGACGGGTCACAATTTAAAGGACAGGAGCTCCACAAAACAGACACACGAAAATGGTGTTTGGAGGATGGATGACTTTGACACACTCACCCAACAAATGCGACATATATATATATATATAGGGTGCTTCTGGGGGACTCAGGAACATACTCAGATCACACATGAGAAGCATAGGTCCACAGTGCGATAAACTGTCATAACATGTCATAACCGTGTGTGATCTCATTCTTGACGCTGCGCTCCAGTCAGTCACGAACATAAACTCAAGATAACTCAAGTAAGTGCTTTCCCCAAAAATATGACTTCAACCAGCAATGTCAAATGCCAATTGTATCTGTTTGGTCTGTCTGTGCATTGAAGGAGCACGACCCATGGCCGTTTCCTCGTACTCGTCCGGTCCGGACCGCACCCGGTGAGCAACGGAGCAACGGCTCGCCTTGCAGGGCCAAAATAGCCGATCTTTTCCACCTGGCTGGGCACTTGGCCAGGTTGGGAAATCCAAATAAGGATAATAAGGTCAAGGAAGGCCAAAGAGATATGGCCTGTGGTGGATCATGAATCCATAATCCATACAATGATCCATCATGATCCAAAGACCATGGTGCACGTCTTAAACCATTTCTTCAACCTGTACCTGGGATGCTTTGCGTTCAAGCCCCGATGGTTTTACAAAAACCACCCAAGACCCAAGTGGACTCAGCGAGCCGATCGGATGTATTTCAGGTGGTTCCACATCCGGAACGTGCCGAAGGACTCCTCCGAGGACCCGTTCCACTGCCTGACGCACATGGGTTCCATGCCATGGGCCTTTATTCCACGTAAGCAATGTGAAAAAACCTATCACTGCCATGCCATGGCCATCCATGAGACCTGTTCCACTGTCTGCACGGCCTGAAAACCAGATGCGTCGAGGGAGGCAGTTGTGCTGTTATTCTCAGTATAGACACTATACAACGACATATGTAATCACAAAATAAATCTTTGTAGTTTAAACATCTTTAAAGTCTGATGTTATACAGTAGGTTCAAGTAAGTCTAATACCGTTTCATGATGGCAGACTTTATACGATTGGCAGCCCCCAAAACCACCTGCCCGCCGACCGTTGTTTCACCGGGCCACTGCTTCAAACCACTCGTCCTCGGACAGCTCGCCACTGCCGTCGTCGTCCAAGGCGTTCCAGGCCTCCTTGAGATCCTGGAAAACATATGTCCGGTGGGACAGGCGTGTCCGGTGAATTCGTGCCTGCAAAAAGAAAAACGCCGTGACGGGGGCCATTTGATTCAGATTCATAGTTAATACTTTTTGGATACACCGGATGGCCTTTGGATCGCCAAACGACTTTTTGGATACTTTCTGGAAGTCGAACTCGCCCATTTGTTCCAATATGTCTCAATATGAATGAAGCACAGTCGGTTTGGAGCGTCCACCAACCTTTGGAGCGTCGGTTCCGGAGCGACGCTCAGGGATCACTCGAGGGCTTCCGATTCGGTCGGAGTTTTGGTCGTTTTTGTTGTCCACAACGAGGATTGCTTGCCGACTGACTTGAGAGAAGAACGCCCAAAAACAGGCTCTACGTGACACTCGATACGTGATACGTAGAGCGTGTGACCGTAGAGCTATACCTTCAAGTCATTGCCTTGCATTCACCGCCCACCGGTCCGGCCCGCGGTGCTTGGAACAACACACAAAAGAACAACCTGACTAGACATCTGCATGCCCTTTGGCAGCACCCTGTGTATTGTCTGGCTGTAGCACTGTAGATCATGATTTGTGTTTTCCTTCGTGCCTGTACTTCTTCTGCCAAGTGCCAGAAGATCGTACTTCTTGTATATTTCTTGTTTCCTTGCATCGTGCCTATTCTGAATTCCTTCTTCATCTTCTTCTGTTGTCCCCTTCTGCCAACATCTTGGGCGCCTCACCGGCGTGCCAAGAACCTTCAAAGGTCCAACCTTTCGCCGATGTCTCGGCGGCGAAATGAGTTCTCGCGCTCCTCGCCGAAGGCGATGATGAGGAACTGGACGAACTCTCGGATGGTCATGTCCTTGACACCGAAACTTCGGATTTGAACAGCACTTCGTTTGTTGAAAAAGGTGGCCTATTTCTTGGAGCACTTGTGCAGAGATGTTCCCTGATCTATGCACTTTGAATTATCTGTTGATTCACCTTTTTGCCACGTACCTCGGAAGCCCATCCACTGTCTTGGATCAACCGGTTCTGCAAGGAATTGGTGTAGAGGAGTTTGATCAAAAGACCAGGTGCACTTCCCAAGTAGTGCACCTTACTGTCCTAAATGGCGCCAAGCTTCCGTCAAAAGTCACATCGATATCTACGAAAGTTCTCCATAACTACATAATTGTATATCAGCTTTCTGAATTTGCGTGGGAGGAACAAATCATTCTAAACATCCGAGAAGCCTCTCAACAAAGAATTAGTTGGAGGCTTTCTCAGGTTGAAGCAAGCACAAAAAATATTCAGAAGGTCAGCACCTCGTTAGGGTATAGTGCCCGCCGAGCCATGGATTCAGGGTTGAATGCAAGGGCCATCCCCATTCTCGCCAACTGCATATTTAAAGATTGAAGGTATAAACAAAATGATGATATTTGTCCAAAGCATGCAACCAGCCCAAACTATCTCCATCTATACCAGACCCTTCCTATATAAATTATGATAGAACCGATCTATAAGTGCCTTTCCCTTTCAAAGGAATAAGTCCAAGCCATGGACACCCGACCGGCCGGAGCCCCACACTGTGTGCCCGGGCGAACTCACTCCAGAGCTGACCCAGCACTCGCCATTCGTTCAACGACACGGTGCCTTCACCTGAGGAAGTCGGAACTGCGCATCTCACACACCTAAGAGACCCTTTGTGCAAAGACCTGGGTGACTGTACATGAACCATCATGAACCCGGCGATTGTACATGAACCATCACGAACCGTCGTGCCAAAAAGTTTCAAAAGGTAACAACAAGAAAAGGCGCAAACTGCTGAATAGATGGAGTGCGTCACAGTGGCTCTAGAAATTGGACTCTGACTCACTAACATGGAAGCGGCTAAATGATTTGTTGGAAGACCACTGTCCTTTGCAAACAGGGGGTTTTCCACTCCACTTCCATGTGATGTGTTCGTCGGAGTGCCGGTGATATGTTCCAATCAAAAACCGCATCCGATTCGGAGAAGGGCCGTTTAGCAAAGAAGACCGAGCTACAAGAACGTCGGAGACCATAGCATTGGCATTGTAAACGTATGCAATCTAAGTGCTTACATACCTGGACCATCCTGTCGGGGTGCCCTGTCTGGAAGCCTATAGGTAGTGGGGTAGTCCAGCCAGGACACCCCCTTGGATGGTCCTGGTACTTATACATCATCTTACATCTCTCTATATAGACTTAAGTGCAAAAAATGAAACAATATGTGACACCAACTCGCCCATGTCTTTTTCCAAACAAAAAAGGAATCCAACCTACACAGCCCGGACATGACAATCCACCATAGAAAAGCCCAGCGGCCGCCAGGATCCAAATATCGGAAGATGGCCTGCAATCGCTTGTTCTCATCTTCACCTGCAGGTCGCCGGTCCGGTCTCCTTGGAAACGGTCCCGCTTCGGAGAAAGCCTGGCCTTCTTCTGAATCTATAGGGCGTAGCAAAGAGTGATTGCATGTGAAAAGCTAGGGTGTCGATGTGAATAAAACATGCAAATCCTGAAACAAACAAAAATGAACTTGATATATATATATATATAAGGTTTCTGTTTGTATACCGGCACTTGGCCCGGACAACTTCCCCCGATGTTTAAACATTTGGAGCGTATTACCTGGACTGAGTATTTTTACAAATGTGCATGTTTCATCAAATTCATGACATTCATGATTTATGTAGTCCAGTTTTCCATGTAAAAAGTTAACCGAACTTTCCACCTGCTTCTTGTGTCTTGGGGAAACTATCTATATATCCCCCATAAAAAGGTTGGATTCTCCACTGTCGGAGCAGGAAGGAGACAGTAGCTAAAGCACCCTATAGCATCCACTAGCATCCTATAGCAAGTCCTATAGCATTATAGTTCATTGCCCAGCTTTCTCGCGGTTGGGTTTCCTAGCCCCGTTTTTCATTATGTTTCCACAACATTTGCGCGGACATGTTCTTACGAATGAGGACCTTGAAATCAATTGAAATATATATATTCCACTTGCCGTCACCGACAGGTGGCATCAATGTGGCATCCACCTGCCGTGATAGTGAGGCAAAGGGTACGGTTGATGCCCCTCGATTCCAGGACCATAGTCACAATACTCCACGACCAGTCCTCCGCACTTCTTTCGACCAGTCCTCTCCACCTCTCCGCTCGCCTTTGAACTTGCCACAGTCCATGGCCTTCAGACCATCTGAGAAAACACCTGGTCACCCGACGAGGAGCACAGTGTTGGTCCCACGTGTCCGAGACATCTGTGACCAACTCACAAGAGACCTGTACGAACCGCGCGCAGAAACCGAAGCGCCACGCAACGCGAACCGCGAATCATTGAACCCAAAGAAGGCAAATAAACACATACCATGATACTCCGACAGGCTCCCATTCGAAGCCTGTTAAGCACTAAAACCAAATGAAGCCTGTTAAAATTTAAGGTTGTTTGGTGTTGGAAAGTTGATGTTCTGATTGACCCTCCACCCTTTTCCACTGAGGCCGAGTGTTCGGGATCGTCTTGACTTGGTCGGCCTGGCGCAAGGCTCAAACGAGGGATTGGTGAGGTTGAGCCTTGAAGACCTCATCACAGCTGCAGGGTTTATACAAATAACACCAGCATTAAAAACCGAGCATGGTTTGAGGAATTTGCTCAAAAGACCGAGGAAATGCGCAAACCATGTTTTTTTGCATTTCACCTTAGACCTGGATCTTGTCGCCATGGGAAAGAAAAGGCCAAATCGAATGACTGATGATGCCGTGACTCTTGCCTTTGTGTTAAGGGAGTGATGGTTGGGATGAACCTTGTGAAATTTTGATTGCCAAGGACTTTGGCCAATGAGATGATAAAAAGGGTGGACTCTGAGGTGGTCAAAAAGGAGGGGGAACTGCTCCCAGGGAAAGATATCCGCATTAGAGGAAATGCATGGATACGAGCAAGTTTCAGAGATGCTGGACTTGAACGTGTTCCCCGCGAACCCCAAGTACGATATGCACTGCAAAGGGTTGTGAAGAAAAAAAAACTTGGCTACACGACAGGCAAAATTTACATATTTTTGTTGCTGCATCTGTGATGTCTGTGGGTGGGTTTCTGTAGTGTGTTTGGCTGAACATAAACCCCACCGCAACCAAAACCAAGGTTTTGGGAGAGATGATGAACAGCTCCAACAATGGATTGTCAATGAGGCGCTCAATTCAATATGGTATAGTCAACCTTTGATGTTGCCAGCATGTGAGGCCTTCAAATGTCATCAGGTTCTCCTTCAACATGCACGACAAAATAGGGCTGGGTGCAAGTTTGAGTCACCTGAATCGAAAAAGGCCAGGCTTGAGGAAAAAAAAGACACTTGGAATGTCGATCTGATGTGAATGCTGTTTCAGGGTGGTTTGCTTTCAACTCCTGCTATCTGAGGAAATCCAAATCCATGGATGACCTGGAGACGCAACCCATGGAGATTGATACTATCCCGGAGTTTGACCTTACTGACAACACGCCCCTGAATTCAAACATGTGTGCATGGGGTTTGGTGGGGGTAGGGTGAGCCAGTCTACTAAGTTACTAGTGCAAGCACTTTGCACATCTCAGGGAGATCGCTGGAGGATCTACTGGGGTTGCATCTTGGAATGTTTCTTTGATTTTTTACTTTTCACCCAATTTCACCCATGTGCAATCCACCAGTGGTGAGGTTGGGGCTGGTGGGTAACAAACAAAGCCAACAAAGCGTAGGCAAAGCTCGAAGAGACCGAGCAGAAAAAAGAGGAGGTTGCAGTTGCAGCAAGTAAAAGAGGAAGCGCATGGAGATGAATCTCCGTGCAAAGAACATAAGCAAAAACATAGGGCAAAGGAAGGAGCGGATGCGGCTGAGGAGGGTTCAAATGGCAGAACAGGAAAAAAAGACAAAGAACAACAAAGAGACAACAGGAGATGAAGCATGTGGTGATCCAGAGAGTGAAGAAGAGGCAGAGAAGAACAAAGAGGAAGGAGGAGATGAAGCAGGCGATGA